TGAATTCCCCTGTATCATGCTCGCCCTTTAGTGCTCAGTTCAGTTTTCACCACGGCTCTCCCTGGAAGCCTGCTCTCAGACACCTCTGCAATCATACTCATCCGTGTGATTAATGGTACCTCTTAGAATGACAAAACTGTATCATCGCAGCTTTGTTCACTCCCTAAACGCCCTGCTTCCCTGTACAGCCCCAGGCTTGCTCATTACACTGATTTGCTTGATGATGCCCTTACCTCCAGTGCCTAGTGTTTCTCGGAGGTCAGAATGCCAGCCTTCATTTGTATCAAGCTCTACAGTTTACAAAATCTTTGAAAGACTATTATTTAATAGGATTCTCAGAACAATCATTTTTCTTTACTTTTTAGATTAAAATAAATTTGCATCATTTCCCCCCTCCTTTTTCTCTCTCCAATCCCTCTCCTATATACCTCCTTGCTCTCTTTCAAATTCGTAGACCCCCTATTTAAAAATTGTTGTTGTATGTTATATGTATACCTGTATACATATTCCTTAATGTAGCCTGCTAAATCCAGATAATGTTACTTCCATGTATGTCTTCAGGGCTGATCATTTGGTTTTGAATAACTGTGCTCTTCCCTGGGGGAAAACTATATCTCCCACTCTTAGCATTTCTTGGTTGCCGGTAGGTAACTCAATGATTCGAAATAAGAGATAATTTTGTCTCCCAAGAGACTCTTGAGAATGCTTAGAGGTACTTCTGGTTGTTACAATGGGGGGGGGGCAACAGGAATGTAACTGAAATCTTATCGGTAGAGGCCAGGCATGATCCTGAAAGTCCCACTTTTAAGTACGATGCTCAAAGTCCTCCACACCAGAGATTCATCTGGTGAAAAGTATCAGTATCGCTGAAGTGGAGAAATCTGTTGCAAGGTCATTAAGCTTTCTTACAGGGATTCTGCTCTGAGAAATCCGAATCCAGGAATCCCTCCTCTTTTCAGGATTACATGCGGTGTCTTACAGTCCTATTTTGATTGTTAGATACCTGGGGTACTAAAAAACCTCCTCACTAGGAGACCTAAACTGATCATTTCAAGTCTCTTTGTGCAATGTTGTACCTGTTAAATGGGAGACAAATTACTAGTGATTTTTTTAACCTTGTTTTTCTCAGCCACAAAATACTTATCGTCTAACTGTTGGAAGAGTAATTGGTCTATCACATAGAAAGGAAATATCAAGTGCATAGTTGGTCTACCTTATTCTACATCTCTTACTCTCTTTTCTTGGTATCAGCTCTCACCATTCCCACATTGCCTTCAGCATGCACATTTTACACCTCAGTGGTAGTGGCTAGAATGGTGAGCTCCACAACATAAAAGCAATGGCTCATGCAGAAAGTAACTGCCAGATTAGAGTGAATTCAGGCCCAAAAAATGTATTACAAAAGTGCTTGTGGGTCTCTACAGCTTCTATAACTCATGCAATGACAAGTGTTGGTGAGGACATGGAGAAACTGAAACCATCATCTGTTGTTAGGAATGTAATATGATGCAGCTGCTTTGGAAGACTTTCTGGTAGGTCCTCATCAGGTTAAACATTACCATTAGCCCAGCGTAAGAGTCAAGAAATGGAGACAACAAGATGCCTGCCACCACCATGAACAGATAAATACAACTCATATCCACCGAGTAGAATAAGGAAGGAAGTACATGCCATAACTTGGATGAATCCTCAAAACATACCAGATGAAAGAATTTAGTCATGAACCATCACATTTTGAATGATTCTACTAAAATGGCCAGGATAGAAAAATTCATAGAAATAGAAGGAGATTATTTGTTGCCTTGGGCTGAAGAGTTGAAGATAAACAGTGGCTACCAATGGGTCCAGGATTTCTTGATGGATGATTAAAATGACCTCAAACTGGCTCTCAAGGTGGTTATAAAATTCTTTGACTATATACTAACAACCATTGAGTAATATACCTTTAGTGGTGGTATCCGAATTAGATCTCCATAAATCTATTAATAAATAAGAAATAAAGAAAAAGAAGAAAGAGGAGCCAAAGAGATAAGACTTGTGTAGTCTCTTGAATATCCCTTGGATACATCTCTTCAAAGCATCCCAAGTCATTAGGAATATGAAGGAAGGAAACCTCACCTCTCTCCTCACCTTAGTTCCTACCTTAGATCTTTAGTTCTGTTTATAAATTAAGTTATCTTAAGGCATATTCACAAGAGAAGAGACATACAAGGTTTACTAACTTTATGTGTCTATGGGAAATTTCCACAAGACAGTGAAGTCTTGAAAAATGTCCAAAGCAAGATGCTTTTAGACTTTGTAAACAAGGAGTAATAAATCTTAGGGCAGAAACAAGACATAAGAGAATGGCTAAACACAGGGAAAGTGTGGAGATCAAATATACAAATTCAATGAAGCAAGGCCTGTCTGCAGTCCCCGCCGGTTCCTGGCTCTAAGCTGATAAAGCTATTGTCAGTGAAGAATGATTAATGTCCTGTCACTGCACAGAAGTGAGAAAAGCAGAAACTTTCTCCATGTTGGAATATTCTTCAGGCCAATAAACTACAATGCTCGAAGGGAAAATGTTTTGGTTTTCCTCAGCTTTGAGGAGAAGCTCAATAGTTGTGAACCTGGGCACCAGTCATGATGACTGAGCAGCATCAGATAGGCTTCTGCGCTGCTGTATTCTTCCAACAGGGTAAATTTGGGTACAGTATGAGGTCTCCAACTTCAGCATGCATCAGGCCTTCTGGGGGCAGGGCAGTATTTCTTAAAATGCCCTTTTCTGTGTTCTACTCATAGAGTGTCTGGGCCATGGAATTGAGTGAGCGCAAAGAGTTTGCATTCTTAACAAACTGCCAAGTGATGAGCTTGTTGCTGGTTCTAAACATAAAGAAGCAAAGCTAAATGGACTCAGTAAACTCTAATAATAATGAAACAGGAGGTCATGAGTTTGAGAGGGAGTTGAACAGCATAGAAGGAGTTGGGGAGGAAGGAACTGGAGTAGAAATGATGCAATCTGTACTCATGTATGAAATTCTCAAAAATCAAGCTAAAAATAGTGAAAATGCAAACCATTTGGAAAATTCATTTTTTAGTGTAGACGCCAGCAAGGCTACAATATAATAGATCTAGGACCAAAGTATATTTTAACAAGATTTATCGGGTTTTCAGATATCATTGGTCTTCAAGGAAAGCTATGATCAGTGGCAGGAAATACTATGTACCTAAGAACGTGCCGAATGAGGTTACTGTTGTGCAAATGTGTGTGTCTCTGTATCTGTATGTGTCTCTTGAACTTTTCCTTTGGCTCCTTTTCTTCTATTTGCCTGTTTATTTGTTTGCTTTGACCTAGTCTGGTTTGTTGTTTTATTTTATCTAATTTTATTTTATTATTGTTGTGTTTTGTGTTAGATTTCTATTTGTATCCTATGAAAAAGAGAAAGAAACAGTGTAGATTTGAATGGGTGGGGAAGTGGGATGGGTCTGGGTGGAGTTGGAGGAGAGGAAACCATAATCATAATATATTGTATTTTAAAAAATCTATTGTCAATAAAATAATTGCAAATAAAAAAAGTTATAAAGCAATGTCCAAATGGTTAAAAATACTAGATTAGCTAAGACATGAAAAAATTTGTACTATACCAATAAACAAATGAATAAAAATTTTCAAAATCATTAGCCGGGATATAAAAAAAATCCACACCAAACTGTCACTATTATAATGACTTATTATGATGACCAAAGTTTAAAAGGGAAAGTAATTTTTGGGCAGGGTGGTTCAATGGTACACCAGGCAGCTTCTTTTAAAGTTAGGCACATTCTTACCTAATGACCTGGAAATCCCAGTCTAAAGTATTTACCATAGTGAAATGAAGAAAAAACTTTATCCAAAACCCTCTGTGCATTTACAACAACTCTAGTCATAAGTACTTATACATATTTTTTTGTACAAACTGGAGATGTTCCACACATGGCACATTTGCATGGGACACCCATACTGTGGAACCTTTCTCTCCAGTTAAAAGAGGTGAGCTACTGACACAGCGCAGATGAGTTCCCAGAGCAGGGCCAGCGGAGAGAATGACACGCGTGGCATGACTCCCTTTATCTACAATCTGGAATAGGCAAGACTGTAGAGGTGGAAAACAGATTGTTGGGTACCAGAAGTAAGTGTTGGGCAAGACGTCGATGTGGAGGGGTATGAAGAGATGCTCTGGGCTGTCCGGTCTAGCCTACGGCTTGATTTTGGTGCTGGCTACAGAACCGTGTGGCGCACAGTTGAAAAGCTGGCTTTTATCTTATACAGTCTATCTCAACAAAAAGAAAAGTCAATGTAAAGTAGAAAGTACCAAAAGATAAAAAGTTATCGTCATTGGAGCCTATTTACTTAAGCTAGAGCCGAAGGGATCAATTTCAACAGCTCAGGCAGATGCTTAAGCCCAGAGATGACACTCAGCTGCTCTCTGCTTGGACCCATAGGACATCTACATGCAAGTTGGGAACTCTGTCAATAGACCTGAAAAGTGATACATCTGTTTCTACCCGAAATTAAGAGATGTTCAGCTAAGAACTCGAAATAACCCCAGGCACCTAGGTTTGCCAGAATCTAAAAATTGTGTCCTTTTAACTTACCATTGTTTGTATTTCGAAATCACCACCTGGATACACATATGAGTCTAGAAGGCTAAGCTGGATATCAGATACAGGGCTTGCTAGTGCGGAGGGGAGTAAGAAAGAGGGTTGGGATGCCAGGAGATGAGAGGTCGGTGGGCAGCTGAAGGGTCTTTCTTGGAGTTTTTGAGCAGAGAGGAGCAGCTAGAACAGGACCCTCTCTGTGAAGTGATTCTCTGGGGAGTTTCCTTGATTTCCATGTTCCTTGCATATTCCTAGAATTCCACCTTAAAACAAGCTGGACTCAAGCAAGGCCAATTTCTCAGCGTGGAAATGCTTTTGCTTGAGCAGTGACACACTGCAGCTGGATCCAGTTCCCCCACATCTGGGAGCCACATGTCAGCCGCAGCCGCATAAAAGCCAGCCCAGCACACTCAGGGTGACATTTTCTGCCAGGAGCTGGGCAGTATGGACCTCACTCTTCTGTCGGTGTTTCTGCCACTGGTGACCACAGCCTGGGGCCAGTATGGTGACTACGGGTACCCGTACCAGCACTACCAGGACTACGGTGACGATGGCTGGGTGAACCTAAACCGCCAAGGCTTCAGCTACCAGTGCCCTCACGGGCAAGTGATCGTAGCAGTGCGGAGCATCTTTAGCAAGAAGGAAGGCTCTGACAGACAGTGGAACTATGCCTGCATGCCCACCCCCCAGAGCCTCGGGGAGCCCACGGAATGCTGGTGGGAGGAGATCAACAGGGCTGGCATGGAATGGTAAGGGGCAGCCAGGGCACTTGGGATGGGGACGTCCGGGCATGTACTCTAGGGAGAAGTTTGGTCCTCAAGGAATAGCACGGCTCATAGCCTGGGCGCATCCTAAACTTGCTACCGCGTGCCCTGGAGTGCAGGGCTGCTGTGCTACAGATGACCTCATAAGGTGAAAAGCAAGGACAGGATATGTCCACGGAAAATAGACCTCTCTGGTTCTATCCCTTCAAGGGCCATTGCTGGGCTATGTGCGGACTGCAGGCTGGATGTGTCTGCAGAACGTTTAGCAAACTGCAAAAGTTGAAAATTCTTAAGGAACTTACAGTAAGTGAGCATCGGAATACCATTTCCGTTTTGTAATGATTCACTGTTTTCCAAAAATACAACTCTGGAACAGTTGGAAGAAAATAAACAATTAGGTCCTTGGCACCAATAGCCTGAGAAATGTTGATTTAGAGTATGCGACTGGGTAGGAAAGGCTAAGAAACAGAAGCAAACAGAGTGAAATTAAGTAGCCCTCTGCTGTTCTGATGAAATAGCTCTGTCAATTTTTACTACTTTCACTGTGTGTTTTCAATCTCATTCTCCTTCTCATTCTCCCTCGCCATATCCCTTTTTCTTCCCCTCTCTTGAATTTAAAGTAGCCTCTGTTGCCAGCTAATAGTTTACCAAAAGTTTTTAGAGGTTCTGTCCTGCCTTCTGCCCTTATCAGTGGATGGAATTGGTCCCAGCTTGTGCTTCTTCATCATGTGTGACTGTCCCAGCCCTGGTATTTGGTCAGAAGCCCATCTCAAGAGCCAGTGATGGCTAGGCCAGTCTTTCACAGCTCTCTGAATGGAGCCCAGGTTTCAGGGCTCAGGGGCGAGGATAAAGGCTGACCCTAGGAGAAGCAGTCTGAGGGAGGAGGCATTCCAGCCAGAAGGCTGCCAGGTATGCTATCTGCTGGGCCAGACAACTGTGTGAGGGGCTCCTGCGGGGAGGTGACGGACGGAGTGAGAGGCTGAAAGCTGTTAACTTAAAACGTCAGTGGTGCCACTCCCAGCCGTCCAGGAGAAAATGGCAGAGAGGAGGGAAGCGGCTGGACAGAAGGGGACATGAATAAGAGAAGAGCAGGGCTCATTCTGTGAGAGCTGCCCTGAGCACACATCACCCCAAGCACTCTATACAATTAAGGCATATCTATCTCATTTAAGGCATAAAACAAGTCTATAAATCATGCTGTAGGTAGGCAAACTGTGGTCTGGAGATAAAGTAGTTTTCCTCAGCTAGGAAGACAAGCACTGGATCCAAAAAGTCTCAGCTTAAAAAACAAACAAACAAACAAACAAACAAACAAAAAAAACACCTCAAAACCACATAGGCTGAGCTGCAGAGGTGGGCTGCTGAGAGCCCACTCTCCACCTCACGCCCACTCTTGTCAGCACAGCCAGGGTCCCAGAACCAGTCTAGTTTGCCATCCTGGAAGAAGATGGTATCTAAACTCAGCAGAAGCCCAGGCCAGGCGGGTGTCAGTTTGATTAGCACTCCTGAGGAGAGGGCCTGCCTGCCTGTGGAGACAGCATCACACAAGCAGTTGCAGACTGAGGAACTTCAGAGGCCTTCATCCTCCACCCTCTCTGTCTCTGGATTCAATGATCCAGACCCCCTTCAGATAAATCGATGACTCAGAGAGCAAGCTTGTCTCCAGGACAGACCCCAGTGTGTCCCAGCAGACAAGCTAATTGCCTGGCTTCAGGGGTGGAAATGATCTAGTTGCAACTGTCTGCCCAGTCCACCCCCCCAACTCCAGGGGATCATTGTGGAGGTAGGCCCTCCTTCTAACCTGCTTGTTAGAACCAGGTTGAACAGCATTCAGTGAAGATTGCTCATCTCCTACGGGGAGAGCCTTGGGCTGAGTCAGAAGCTGCATTTTTGGTTCTGATGCTAATGACAAAATGTGGCGTGACCTTAGGCCAGGCTTCAGCTGTCTCTCTGCTGTCTCCTTGGGAGGATGAACCCTCAGACTTTGCACTCTCTACAGGCTCCACAAAGCAGCTGCTCACTTCAGAGTTGCTTGCGTTCTCTTGAAACAAAACTTGTGTTCACTCAGCTAAGGAAAGAAGCCAAAGGCTGTTGAGTTTCAAACATGCCCGTTTGCCCCCTCTGGTTGCTATGAACTCTCAAAGTATGTGAAGAGGGGAAGAAAGAAAGAAAGAAAGAAAGAAAGAAAGAAAGAAAGAAAGAAAG